CTGCTTCTTCCTCTGTCTCTCTCTCTTCCTCTCTCTCTGCTCTCGGCGGCTCTCTGCCTCTCTCTCTGCCTCTCTCTCTTTCTCTCTCTCAGTCTCTATCTCTCTCTATCTCTCTCTGTCTCTATGTCTCTCTGTCTCTCTCTTTCTCTCTCTCACCCTCTCTCTCTCTCTTTCTTTTCTTCCCTCTTTGTCTCTCTGTCTCTCACTCTCTCTTTCTCTTCTTCCCTCTGTCTCTCTGTCTCTCTGTCTCTCTGTCTCTCTGGTTGATTGCACACCACCCCTCGTCTGTGCTCAGAAATAGAAAAAACATAAACATTTGGAAGCGGAAGCCGCGTTGTCTCTGATTCGAAAGCGAAACTGCATACAGTTGCGAACGTGTTGTCTGTGCCTTGTTGATCTGAATTCGGAACCTAAGGTAATGATCAGATGGCTGTGGTGGTTTATTGTAGCTGAAAGCTTTGCAGTGTAGACTAGTATAGATCTAGATCTAGACTCTAGATAGTGTATCGTGTAGAACCAAACAAGACCCACAGAGTCTCTCGAGGGAGAGAGACCAGATCTAGACCTCCTTAGATCTATATATCTAGATATAAATTATTATAAATATAAATATAGATCTAGAATGTAGACCTAGGCCTAGGCTTGCCTCTCCTTCTTAGTAGTCCCTAACTTATTATAACTAACTAATGTCCACTGGAACTGCATGCAATGTACTGGCCTTTGTAGAGCTAAATCTAAGTTTGTTTGAAGTTTGATGGGAATAGCACACAGTGAGCCTAACCCTTATTACTAATACTAATTTAGTAAAACAAATTTAAGCTTCCTCTATTACCGAGTATTGGCATCCACTAATTAATGACTAGATCTAGATTCTAGATCTAATGGCAATGTTAGATCTATCTCAGCTGGGCACTTTGTAGAGCTAAATCTAGGGTTGTTTAGAAAAGAGTTTGATTGTATATCACACGGTGAGCCGAACGCTTAGTCAACCAAGTAAGCTTCCTATTACTATTATTATCATTACCGACTTAGAATGGCATTCACTAACAAATGACTATAATGGCAATGCTCAATGCTAGATCTAGGGTTGTTTAGTGTTTGATTGGAAATGTCACACGGTGAGCCGAACGGTTTTAACTAATTAAAAGTTGGGGGCTCGGGTGACTAAGTCAACTAAGTGAGTAGGCCTAGATCTCGAACCGTCATTTCAGTTTGGGAAATTTTTCGCAGCTCGTCCGACACAAAAGCATAAGCCTAGATTTTTTGTCGAATAACTTTCGATCCCGTTTACTTTTAACCTAGATTCTCTAAACGGCACTCTTCGAGGGAAGTGGTCCCGGCTTAACACCATAGAAATAACACTAAGACTTGTAGTCAGAAACAAAAACACAAGTCGAGTAAAAAAGCTGTCTTCGGTAATTTTTTTCCCTTACTTCAAGTTTAGAATATTTCCCACATTAATTTTTTAATCGGCTTCCTTTTTTGTTTCCGATTGCAAGTGTTATTTCTACGGAATAAGGCCGGGACTACTTCTCCCGAAGAGTGCCCTCTAAACGAGTGACAACCCCGTTTTGTCTTTTCGAGCAAAACTTTTTTCAACGTTATAGATTGGTGTGGAAGGGCACTTTTCTTAGAGAGGCCAGAATATTGCTCGATATGAGTCGGGCGGAACTATTTTCTTACGGATATTGATATGTAAATGGGACAAACTGATACAAGACCGGGAACGGTAGCTCGATAACATTAACAATCGGTGCCGTCTGTCTCAAGTCATCCATAAGAAAATCGTGTCTTTTCATCGGACAGGCTACAGCACGGGCAAAAATAGTTTTGGTGTCGACGGGCATCCCCGCTCCGTCCCTCATGTTTAAACCGACTGCGTCAGTGTCGTTCTGTAGGTATTAATTTTAAATAACGTTTCCAAGCCCTCTGACCTGGTAACCGTAACAGTTTTGGTCAGGTCCATTTTTCCCCTTCTCTTTCCCCCGATCTCGGAATCTTCGCGGAGAGGAGCAGCGCCAGCCGTTTGCCAGCGACGAGGAGACGGTGAGTTCTCACGCATCCTCAAACCCGCACACACGCACGCACCAACACACACACACACACACACACACACACACACACACACATACACTCGCGCGCGCTTGGCAGTCCGACCCGAAATAGGTATATTTCATTAAAACATTTCCAGTCGAAAGTCGGGCTTGAGTTGTTTTCTTATTCGTACATTCATATAATATAAGTGAGACAAATTATCGATAAAAGACCAATGCGACAGCCATATACATATATTGTACGCACACAAACACACGCACATGCATGCATGCGCGCACGCACGCACGCATGCACACACGCTTGCACGCATGTACGCACACACTCAGGAAAAAGAGAGAGGGGAGAGAGAGAAAGAGAGGGAGAGAGAGTCAGCAGCACTTCCCGGTGTGTCCCGTAGGTCTGCGCTCATAGAAAAAGCTCACTTTGGGCGTATATTTTTCCAGTCTAGCGGAAAATACAAATCATCGCCAAACCTTTCGTGAAAGAGAAAAAAATATTTTGAAAATAAGGGGCAAAGATGTTGTCACCCCATAACCCCTAATCCCCCCCTCTCTCTGCTCCAACCCACCCTCTTTATCTCTCTCTCTCTCTCTCTCTCTCTCTCTCTCTCTCTCTCTCTCTCTCTCTCACTCTCTCTCTAGGTCATTAGAACCAGAAAACTTCCTCTATAACACACTGATAATCGGCATGAATCGGAAAGAAAGAAATTTGTTGAAAATACCGTTTAATGGTATATTATCGAAATTATCAAATATCGATACCCGATTATTTAAGAATCGCACGTCATATCTCACACTGCAAACATTTTAAACCACTGTACGGGGCTCTGTTCCTTAAAACTTATGTTTCTTATCCTAAATATGGGAATTTGAGTTCTAAGCCTAAAGATTTTTAACGGGGAGCTAAAAAATTTGAGTAGTAATGTACATTGAGTAATCGATACTAGTAGCTGTTTACAATGATAGTACATAACAAGATGGGCCACTCAGCCAAAAAAGTGTCCGCAGGAAGTATGCTCTTTGCTTCAGATGGCGCTGCAGTCTGTTTTGAAGCTCTCTTTCGTTTTTCCAGAAGAAGAATAGGAATAGCACCTCCTTGCGTGCGCAGATCGACTGCTGTTCATCAGCAGTTCGGGTACGTTCAGTGCGTAGTTTTAGGGTTTTTAAAATTTTAATGACCTCTCGCCTTTCATTCTAAAGTCAAATTAAACGAAGAAAACCATCACCCTTTCCTCCGGAAGAGGTTTTTTTGTCAGCGTAACCATTTTAAAAAAGCGTTCTTCCGAAATTTATCCCAAAACATGCTAGTTTCACTTTGATTTTTAAAAACTCAAGTAGGGTAACTCTGTTGGCAAAGAGTGCGCTTTTGTGAAGAGGGCGCCACCAAATTTTGAGGACACTTTTTTAATTGGCTCAAAGAGAGAAGTGGCCCATCTTGTTATGTACTATCATTGCTGTTTACAAATGAGAGATGAGAGAAAGTGGTGGTGGGGAAGCAGTAAGAAGAAGAAGAAGGAGAAGGAGAAGGAGAAGGAGAAGGAGAAGGAGAAGGAGAAGGAGAAGAATAAGAAGAAGACGAAGAAGAAGAAGAAGAAGAAGAAGACGAAGAAGAAGAAGAAGAAGAAGAAAAGCCAGCCTTAACCATTATTACACTACAGACCGAAGTACAGACGAACAAAAGCACAGAAAAAAAGACGAGGTGTGCAAATCTGCTCTTCCCGTTGTGTCCCGGAGGTCTGCGCTCTTCGATAAAGACGCACTGTATGCGTATTTTATTTCAGTGGACAAACCCTTCGTGAAAGAGAAAGACAATCGTTTGAAAGTTGTTATCTCCCCATACACCTACCCCCCCCCCCCCATCTCTCTCTCTCTCTCTCTCTCTCTCTCTCTATTTCTCTCTATCTATTGCTCTCTCACTCTCTATTTCTCTCTCTATCTTTCTCTCTCTGTCTCTCTCTCAATATATTTCTCTCTAGCTCTCTCTCTTTCTCTCCCCCCCCTCTCTCTTTCTATCTCTCTCTTTCTCTCTCTCTCTCTCTCTCTCTCTCTCTCTCTCTCTCTCTCTCTCTCTCTCTGTATTTTATAATTTAACTCGCTTGGTCTTTTACGTTCAGTCACGGCTTCCATCGCCTTTCTTCGGTAGATTGCACACCACCCCTCGTTTGTGCTCAGAAATTAGGAAAAACATAAACATTTGCCAAGCGGAAGCCGCGTTGTCGAAAGCGAAACTGCATACAGTTGCGAACGTGTTGTCTGTGCCTTGTTGATCTGAATTCAGAACCTAAGGTAATGATCAGATGGCTGTGGTGGTTTATTGTAGCTGAAAGCTGTGCAGTGTAGGCTAGTATAGATCTAGATCTAGATTTAGACTCTAGATGTTGTATCATGTAGATCTAGAACCAAGGGAGAGAGACCAGATTTAGACCTAGAATCCAGACCTAGGCCTAGCCTAGGCTTGCCCCTCCTTCTTACTTCTTCTTAGTCCCTAACTTATTATAACTAACTAATGTCCACTGGAACTGCATAGGCTAGTATAGATCTAGATCTAGATTCTAGATGTTGTATCAGTCGTGTAGAACCAAACAAGACTCACAGCTAGGCTTGCTTCTCCTTCTTAGTACTTCTTAGCTCTTAGTCCCTAACTTAGTATAGATGTAGTCTGTAGACTGTAGTGTAGTGATTCTAACTTATGACCACTGGCACTGCATGCAGTGTACAGGGGTAGGACTGGCCTTTGTAGAGCTAAATCTAGGGTTTTGTGTATAATGGGAAT